AAATCTGCCGTTGCAAACTTGCAAGCTCCGCGTCGCGGCCCTCCTGCACCGGCGGGCGGATCTGTTCTCCGCTCGCAGCAGCGCGTTCTTCGTCTCCAGCAGAGCTCATCCCGATGTGGCTTCCCTCGAGGGGCAAACTCTAGAGTGTTTGCGGCCTACGCCACTTATTTATCGGGTGAGACTGATTTGGTGATGTATTAACTTTACGAGAGGTCGACGACCGTCCTTCACACGGACGAAAGAGGGAGTGCTCAAAGAGCGGCTCCCACAGCAAGGAGGGGCCCCGTGAATCATCGCGGTGCCCCCTACCAAAACGGTAATCTTACCAGTCAGCGACACAAAATCATCCAGCACATTGACATGTATCCAACACCAATGTTCGCAGACCCACGAACAGTACATGCGTTTGCCGCAGGGATGTGGAGCTCTATCTGGAATGATTGTAAAACTAGGCAAAAGTCTGTATGGCTTGAGACAGGCATCAAGGCAGTGGCATGCAATGCTGAAGAGGTGTTTGATGGCGTTAGGTTTTGAGTAGTGCATGGCCGATGCTTGTGTGTTTCGTTTGATTGAGGATGGATGTGTTGTTTTGATTTTGGTGGTACTTGTAGATGACATTTTGCTGTGGGAGAGAGGGAGAGATGTGACATTTTTGGTGCCGACCTTAACAAGTCCGTGCCAGTGAAGAACCTGGGAGAGTTGAGATGGTATTCTGGGTGCTTTTACGAACAAGGAGCCCCGGTAGGTTGACGATTTCTCAGCAGACTTTCACGGATTAGCTAGCAGCAGAATATGGAGCTGTGGTATAGCATTTGGAAATAAAGGATTCACGCACGGGTTCGAATCCCATTGGATCGCTTTCAAAGTACCATTTTCTGCTAATATAGCAGCATCTTGTTNCGTCCCCGGAGATCACTACACCCTATCAGATCCACTGCGATTGGCTACGAGCCGAGAGTGTATCTTTTATTCGGTAAAGGCTGACCATTTGACTACATGCACAGTCATCGATGACTGTGCACGTAGTCAAATGGTCAGCCTTTATCGAATAGCGGTTGGGTCGTCTAGCTAGTAGAAGTGGAGGATAGGGGCCAGAGGGGCAGACGACAGAGTCCAATGATGAGAGAAAAAAAAAACGAAAACGAAAACTAAAGGAAAACAGGATCCCAATTACCGACCAGAAACACCAAAGTTGTTGTTGTTGTTGTTGTTGTTTCTCACATTAGCTCTATAGTCCACAAAAAATGGGGAGCCCGTGGTCTCAAAACCCGGCACATACGACGCCGCGAGAAAAAAAAAAAATAGGGTACAAACCACTCGGAAAAAGAAAACAAAATGATAGAAAGAAAAGAACAGGCATCGCACCAACCGTTCGAGAAAAGAGCCCTCGGACACCGATCATAATATAACAAAACAAAAAAAAAGGAGGACGCTTCCCACACCCGCCTAAAGAAAAAATCAAAGGTAAGACCACTGTTTATGGCAAAAAAATCTTGATCTTCCTTTCTTGCGACAAATGTTGAATTTTTCGACCTTTTGGGCAGTCTGCCTCCCGAACGAGTGCGAATCAGTTGTTCGACCTTTGAGAACAGTCACAGCTATGGCTGAGATGTCTACAGATCGCCTACATGTTTCGCCAGGGTCCACGTTTGATTTTTTCAAGGTTCACAATTTTCACGCAAGATTTTTCCAAAACCAGCTTTTG